AAATAATTCAAAAGCAAAGGGGAACTACAGAGGAGGGAGGGGGAAAGGAAGGAAGGGAGAAGAAAAGGATGAGAAAAGAAAGATAAAATGGAGACAAAGCCTTTGTAAATTAGGAGGGAAAGAGGGATTGAAGAGAGAGGAGGGGAATGGGAAAGAAAGGAGAAGCAGACACACCATGTACAGTAGGTTCAAATTCCCTACGATGAACGTGATCATTATGTGTATCTAAATTGTACCAATAAATTTAATAATAAAAAATAAGAAACACACAAAACCATACTCCTAAATTATCTGAGAGGCTCCACTTCCTGTGTTAAAAGCAGGAGGCAGAGGTCAGTTGGTGCAGCGCATGTTTACCTGCTTCATTTTAACACAGGCACGGAACTATCCTGATTCTCAAACCAACATATCCTTGAAGTCAACATCAGCGTCCGTGCCTCCCCACCACTGCCAACCCCCAGCTGTTGGGAAGACACAGGGCAAGAAAAGGAAGCTGTGGTAAGCAGATTTCTAGGAGAGACGGAAATGGTGCTGATGAACATCCAAGCCCAAACTGGTCCCACTTGAGGAGGGCCAGAGGGTGGGCATCACTTGGCTACACAGGCGCCCCGCAAACACACAGCGGAAGAAAAGCTGTGTCTGCTGAGCCACAGGCAGCTCCAGGCCACCACCAACACGCCCCAACTCAGGACACAAAGGCTGCGCTTCACAGCATGCCTTTTCTCAGGTTTTTATGGACAAGGACTCCCTTGGAGCTCTCCTGACACAGCAGCGTCTCATTGGTCCCTGTAAGTATGCTAAAGCCCAGCATTACAATCTAGGAAAATATGAGCATTTCCTAGCCGCTGCCCCTCCCCGGAGGGTGAGGAAGACCACACGCGCTCAGTGCAGGGTGATCTGCTCGGTGTTTGGCTGAGCCCTGAACAGAACAGAGGATGAGATGCTCCAGTCCTGTCCAGCACTGTGAGAGTGAAGTAGCTATCAATCCTCAGGGAAGCAGTGGGCAAGCCCTGGGTTGGAAATGCACCTTCAGAACCAGGAGAGTCAGTGCTGATGAGTGGACTTAACGTGCCTATACCACATATGTGCTACAAAAGGACTGGCTCAGTCATTCCATCTCAGAATGTTTCCTTCCAGATTTCATTTTACAGCAATCACTTCACAAATTAACCTTAGGCCAAATTCAATCAGAAAACCTATAGGATGAATTCCCAGGGAAGACGGTTACACAATGAGTATCACGGATGTGAAAACCGGATAAGCACTGATAAGGTTACTGAGCCAGTATATCTTGCAGCCAATCTGCAAGGTGTTTCTGATACAGCATCTACAGCCCCTCCACAACCCATGGGCCACAATTAATGGTGAGAGGTTGTTGCCTTATTGATAAAACTGGAAAAAAACCCTTTTGAAACTATTGTACCACTAAGCTCACTACATCTACAAGAGTAAAAGCTATGAAACAAAAGAATGGGGGAACTTTCTTATCTCTCAGCTGATACAATACTCATGTGAGAACTGGAACTCAAGACCTTGCATTTAATGAGCACACATCTCACGTGTATGTAAATTTTCAAAAAGAAAGAAAAGAAATAAAGGGAGATTGAAAACCAAATCAGTCCAATATCATCAAGATAACCAGACAATGTAAAAAAAAAACTCCATAGCAACAAAATAGAAGAGATTATTTATGTAGATTCACAACTAGATGAGCTCCAGATGTATTTTTTAATCTATTCTCCACACGTGTTTTTCTGCTTAATAAATATAACATCCAAGTTGGAATATGGCTGAAACACTGAATTGCCTGAATTCTGGCTATCCTCATCTGCTGTTAACTATTTTGAGCTCTTTCCCCATTGGGCAGCCGCTCCTGAAATCATAAGCACATAGGCTTGGCAGAGTCAGAAAGAAAAAACAAATGCAGTCCACAGACTTGTTTCTTCTATTTTCCCCAAACAGAATCTTAAAAAAAAAAAAAAATGCCCTCACATTTTGTCACTATGTAGCTGTCAGAGCCATTCTGTTCCTCCTCCTAACTCTCCACTTTAAATTCATCGCTGGTGTTACTGGTATGTTTCTAGCTCCAGGAAGTTACCAGGCACCATCACAAGTGCTCAGACTGTATCCGAGCAGAACAATCTGTCAATCAGTCTCAATTGGATGGAAGTTTTTTGGGCCAACTTGGACAAGCACACAGGACAGCTTTCACTTTTCTGCCAAGATCACTTCCAGGACATTGGCTAATTAATTACAAAAGCTTTTTCAAAACAACTTTGAGCCTGGCAACTTTTTTTCCCTACCCGAACAGGAAAAACAGGTTAAAAAATAAAAGCTCAGGTTCACTGTGTTAAAATAGATTTTCTTTTTTTTTTTTTTTTTTTTAAAAGAAAGGCCTGTATTTGCCATAACTTCAATTTATTTCCAAGTCTATTTTTTCTTCCTTTGTCCTAAAAAGAAACAGGATTTGAAGTTACTAGAAGAGTGGTTATGGAAACTGAAAGTATCAGTTTGAATTTCTCCTCTACTGTTGGTCATAGAATAGACGGTGGGTTGGTTAGAAAGTGCCTCTTCAAGCTCTTGGTAGGAGAAGACAAACAGAATTTCCTTTTGGAAGGAGAACTCATTGGCTATTATAGAGATGCAATTTAGACAAAGAGATGTTCTTACAATGGAACAGTCATTATCCCTCTCCTGCTGACTTTGAAAACAGTAAAACTCCTGGGTTAAATCTTCTGGCTTCCTCTCAACAGCAGTCCTGGTGTCCATGAGAGGCTGGTAATGGACAGTGGAGAGTCTAGTTTTAAGGACCCAATCACACACTGAATCTACAACAGTCATGATGTTCTAACATATTTCTTCCATTTCTAGAATCAAAGTCTTATGTAATTCATATCTTACATCATCACACAATTTCTTCATATGTCCAGACATGAAGAAGAAACCCAAGACGGTAAGAAATTTTAGGCATTTATCAGCTGCCTATTGGCTCATTCTAGCTAGAGGAGAGCTGTCCCTAATAAAAGTGGTCTTCCTCAAGAGTCCATCAGCCAGACGCAACGAGTCATAATCAGAGTGCTCCCTCACCCAACTTCAGGATCCCTGGCAAACAACACAAACAACATTGCCTGGTAAATATGGAATGGAGCCAACATGTACATAATGGCTCTGAAGGCAATTCTCACAGCCTAGGTTCCCCCTCTCCTGCTACCAATGTACCCAATATTTAAATAACCTTCTCCCCTGGAGAGGAAGAATCCTATCAGCACTTGAAGGAGAACCAGCTCAAGGACTCAAGAACTAATCAGAAGGTACAGAAGGAGGGAAGATATCAGCCCTGATTAGAACAGAGTCTTCTTCTGGAGAACACTAGAGAATTCATAAAGAAGGAGAACACTGGATTTTGTAGGAGCTTAAAAGGAATACAGGAAATTTTGAACTTCACTTGATAGGAAGCCATTATAAGATTCTAATCCAGAGTAGAAAACTGAGGGAAATAATATGAAATGTGTATTGAATTGAGAGAAAACAGGGACAAGGGATTAGTTCCAAAGGTTTTTCTAGCAATTCAGAGCTGCAGTGATGAAGGCCCTACAGTAGGGTGCTGGTTAAGAAGGAGAAGGTAGAAAGAACCCAAGGGCCATTTCAAGAGAAAGAACATAATTTCACCTTTCCTGTACTTTTTAGAATTTACCATGGCCTATAAACTTCTGTCATTACTACAAGTGCTGCCAGTTAAAGAGGAACACTGTCATAAATATTGCTTTTTTTAGAAAAAATAGCAAAGTGTGAAAAGAGAAAATTTCAAAGCCATCCTACTTAGAAAAGAGAGAGAGGGAGAGAATAAGGTCACACAAATGATACACAATTAACATGTCAAGTACGAAGCCAACAAGAATCATATTCTTCTATTATATCAAAGAACAAAACATTAGTTATAAGAGCAAGAATTAGATATTGGATTTTTTAAACTGAGCTATATGTTGCTTCAATTTAGTAAAGGAGAAAGTTACTGTCTATCCCATAATTGGCCAGTTTTGAAAAAATTAACAGGACGAGACATTTTTGCTTTCATGTTCCTTGCCCCTACCAACATGGAAAACTTTCCTCACCACCCCAAGGAAACAGGCTAAGATTGCCACCATTCTTAAAAATTATTTTAAAAATATACTACTTTTATTTCTTTGACACTGAGGCTTTTTTAAATCAGGAGGCATCATTTTATAATATCAACATACTATATTCTGGAAATCTGCACCAGATACACACCCAACTGGGAAAAAGGCCATGCCTATGTCACATTCTTTTCAAAAGAAAGCAAACAGGGGGCTGGGGATTTAGCTCAGCGGCAAAAGCGCCTGCCTGGCAAGCGCAAGGTCGTGAGTTCGGTTCCTGGTACCAGAGAAAAACCAAAAAAAAAAAAGAAAGCAAACAGAAATTCCCAAGCTGAATGCTCTTCATTTCGAATGGGCTACTTCCTATATGTGGTGACAGACAAATACACAGAGAGTGAGACAACTATTACAACCCTAGCCTGATGCATCTCCCCAAATTAAACAATTCCAGGCTTTCTTAGCCCTTTATAGTTTATTAAAATACTTCTTCATAAAATATGTCATTTAATCCCCACAACAAACCTGAGGAAGAGGTTATTCCTATTTTAAAGCAAAGCCAGAGGCCAGGGATATAGCTCAGTGGCGTAGCACCTGCCTGGCAAGTGTGAGGTCCTGAGTTCAATTCCCCATACCAAAAAAAAAAAAAAAAAAAAAAGTCAAGTCAAATGTAGCCCCAAGGTTAAAACTGTCCAGGTGAACACATCCACAAAGACTGGAGGCAGGATTCAAATTCTGCCCTGACTCCAGAGCAGTTAGTGTATTGCTTCCCTCTCCTCACAGAAAGTGCGAGCTCCTCCCTACAGAGAATGGCCCAGAACCTTTCCCAGCATCTCTGAGATACACATCCATCCTTATATTTCAAAGTGGCGATAATCCTTTGCTTACCTGGTCCTTCTCTGGCTTATCAGAAATGTCGTTGAGACTGGAGGAAGTCAGGTTCCTATGGGTCATGGCTGGGCTACCTGGAAAAACATAAGTGTACTTTCAGTCAGGATTTCTTTGCAGAAAACACAGTTTGCTTTGCATACTTCACAGACACTACTGGATGGCAATGGGAATGATGGCAATGCTTTTAAACACATCAGGATTCTCCCGAAGAGTTTTCCAGAATCCAGGTTGGAGTGTAAACATCACTAAATGGAAAGAAGGTAAAGGCCCAAATATTTTAAGTCTTACTGCCTGGTTTTGTTAGAAGATAAATTAAACTTGGAAAAAAAAGATTGGCCTAAAAATAAATCTTCTCCCAGTTTGGCTTACTTTATGTCATCTCCTCTCCTCATGCTAATCTACCTGGTTTCTTTTCTTCTTCTGATTGCTTGGAGAAACCACCTATTCTCCCCACCGGTGGAGCTGGACTCTGGATACAAGCCGGGATTTCCTGTTCCCCAGGCCTTGCCTTTGCTTCCCAGAGCACCATCCTCTGATCTGCCAGAAAAGCCACCTGCCTTCCTTCCCTGGTGGATGCTTCACTCACCACTACTTCTTCTTAGTGGGCATCTGATCCAGAATCCTCATTCTTTGCCTTAAAAGTTCCCTTTTCTCTCCGAATTCCCATTTTCCAGTCTAAAATAAGCAGACCCATTCTTCCTCCTTAGCACATGAAACCTCTCCTTCGAGTCAAAGGCTGAATTTCACTGGGAATACTACATGAAAACTAATTTTCCCAGCAATATAGCAAGCCAAGATAAAATTCAATTGAGATGTATCCAGTTACTCTTGACACAGTTATACACAGACAGAGAGAAGGGAAATACAGAACAGCCACGGACCATTTTCAGGGAGGCCATGTGACTCAACAGAATACTGAACTTTCATTCTGCAGTTGGACCTGACATTTCTAGGCTTACTAAGCAAAAAAATAACTTTTGAAAACCAAGGTGTTTGACCCAGCCCTGCAGGGTGCTGAGTAATGCATTCATTATTAATCCTCAATGATCCGACTCAGGCTGGTCTTCACAGCAAGAGGACAAGGGTTGGAAAGAATCACAGAAGTTCAAACATAGCTTCACCTTGGCTTCCACAACATTCTTCAGAACACAGACTTTACTTCTTGCAGATAGAAACTCCAAAACACATAATTTTAAAAAACTAAAGTCTATTCTGAATAGGTTAATGTCGATGTAATAGCAGCTCTTTAAATAATATAATCACCTTTAACTACTAGATCAGAAAAAGTCCGTTTTCCTGAGCTAGCAAGACAGAGTATTTTCCACTCTGCTGCATTTCATTGAGTAAGCATGGCCTAGATCTCCTAAATCCGCTACCTGGTAGGGTTTGTTACTCTAGGAAAAATCTGAGCACAGGGCATTATTAAAGGCAACATCTGAAAAAGTGCTTCATAAGCAAAAAAGAGAACCTCCCTAAGGTCACAGTGTCAGCTCTGAACCAAGTGCTAGACTTCCAGCGTCCATTCAGTATAAAAGACATCAGACACAAACCTGAATGCCCCCAAACAGTGCTTATGAAACAACTAGAAAATGATGAATAGCTATAATTTTGCCCTTCAAATTAAAAAAAACTGTTATTTGCTATCAGTGAATATTTTGTCTGAATAAGTGAATTATGAATTCCTAAAGCAATGAAGCTTTAGCAATCTTGATCATATTTATTAGTTAAAATCAGTTGCTGTAGATGCATAGATCAGATTGATTTTTAATTATCAAATTAATTATATGTAAATAGCAGTATTGAAATAATTTGAAAGCAGTTTTTCATTAAGTAAATTAACTGGGCAACAGTCTAAACATACTGATTTGCTTTGGAAAATCTTTATAAATACTGTAAAGGTGTATTTCAGCACAATCACTGTCCTAATTGCTGCGAAACTTGAATAGGTAACAGGCAAATGAGGAAGGTTTTTACTACAATGATAAACTTGACTGACGTGACAACTTTTCAGAGAAGCCGCATGTGTGGTCTCATTATTTCTCTCATTTCTGAAAGGCAGTTGTAATACAGGGACCTATATTTATACTATATGGGAGCCGAAGAAAGATGCAGGAACCAGACAAGAGAGAAAAAGCTGATATTAAGAAATAATCAAGGGCTGGGGATTTAGCTCAGCGGCAAAAGCGCCTGCCTGGCAAGCGCAAGGTCGTGAGTTCGGTTCCCGGTACGGGAGAAAAACCAAAAAAAAAAGAAATAATCAAATCTATTGTCCCTCCTAAACCGCCTCTGGTTCCCATTAACAAAAGTGATGAATGTCACTAAGATTTCACTTTGCAAATTGTACACTGAATGAGCTCAGAAGTCAACAGTTCCAGATAATTAAGCAAGATGAGCTGCAGTCTTCAAACTTCTCTCATCTTCTCCCCTATCAAGCTTCCCTGCCCAGTCTCCAATACCTCGCACCAGAAACAAACACTTCCATAGCCTCTAAATCGGGGTTTCCAAAGTGCAGTCTGTGAGCCAGCAGCATCTGCACCACCACCACCACCTGCCGCACCACTTACTAAAATGCACGTTCCTGAGACTAACCCCAGACCACTCGGGGTGTGCAGCATAGTAATGTGGGTTTTAGCAAGCCTTCCAAGCAGTTCTGAAGCATGCTAAAGAGAGAAAATCACTGTTCAAAATAAAACAGTCACCTTCCCAGGATGTGCCCCATCAGAATGTGAGGTCAAAGAAACATATCCCAACTAGAATGGCCAGAGGGGAGCCCTGACAACTTGCCCTTCTCTATGACCCTGCTTGAAACTATCCTAACTCAAGCAAATCATTCAAGTCACATCCTTGCCACATAAACACATAAAAAGAAGATTTGCTTTTCAATCTGAATCCTTACCTATCCAACTAAATAGCTGGTTCACTTTGTTTTGGAAACTCACTGTTTGATCAACTTTTTCCAGAAACATGTTACCCAAATCAAAGACCTGGCCAGAGCCAAAAGAGATTACAAATCAGATTACAGTGGGAATCAGAAATGTATGTGTGGATTTGGGCAAACCTAGAAAGTTGTTACACAACAGGCCCCTGACAATGTTCTATTGTGCACACTTTGCAACTGACATGCAATAAGACACAGTCAGAATAAATCAGTGCTCTCTATTTACAGTCTTGACCTATAATGCACATTCATTATATACAGTGAGTAGGGGGATCCACAGAAAAATGTTACCTGGGGATGTTAACTTCCTGGAGCAGGCAGTGACAAGTCCAGGTTAGCATTAGTGGGTCCTGTCCATTTAAAACCCAGCGTGTATAAATGCCTTTGATTGTTCTTGGCCCCCCAAAAACAACTTTTTCTTAATTTTGATTTTGAAAAGAGAAGAATCAATCTTCAAGTGCATAGTCATATTTAATTTCCATATCACTGTTTTCTGGCCATAAGGAAGAGAAAGCTTTAGAGAATCACATTTTCAAGCAGTTTCACACAATCAAAAACAATTTCATTTTTTAAAGTACCCATTTGGCAGGTACACAGTGTTTCTATAAAAATTAATCACATTCTGTACTAAGTTTAAAAATCGTTGTTATTCTTGAGCATACATGTAGTGAATCACAAAGCCTTTTGCAATTGTGTCCATTAGATACAATAAAAATGGGTGAAGAAAATTTACAGCACAGGAGAAAGATGATATTTGAGTGTGGACATAAGTAATGTACTTGGGTACAGAACATAATGACATGTAAACTCCCCTTGCCTCACACCTCCATGACGGGGCAACAGAGTATAGAGGAAGGAACTAACACAAAAGTCTCATGGTCTACAGAATATATGGGCTTCTTAAGAATAACCTAATATGAAAAGACATTTTCAGCATAAAAGTAAGTAAGGTAATCTACATAAAACAGACATGTAAATGCATCTGTGCATTAATATAAAAATTCAGAGGTATGACTCTGTTTTAAACTAACAATACATTATTTTCAGAAACATTCACATGCTAGAGTTTGGATATGGAATACCCACGAAGAGCTCTGTACTGAAAGCCTAGCCCTCAGCCTGGGGCACTAAGGAGGTGGTGCGAATATTAGGAGATGGGGTCTAGCAAAAGGAAATGTGGATGGGGTCCTGCAGGGGGTGCTCCTGGAGGGTCCCCAGGAACTCAGCCCCTTTCTGTGTCCTGTGCATCCCAGCTGCCCTGAGTGAAGGGCCCTCCTCTGCCCCAAGCTCCACTGTGAGATATTGGGTCCTGCAGGCTCCACACAACAGAGACAAGAGACTACGAACTGCACCCTGTGAAACCATGAGTCAGAATAACCCCTCCCTCTATCAGCTGTTCATCGCAGGTATTTTGTCCCAACAATGGAAATCTGACTGATGTAGCACATTACTGTGTTCTGCACTCCCGCTGAAACTCTCCCAACACCCCTCCCATTTTTAATTGACATAACAAACCTGCTAGAAGATGTCTACTAATGGTCAACTGATCTTCTGGGATACCAGACACTTTTACTCTTTATACTGACATTGTGAGTCTGGTTATTGCCACTTTATGGATAAACAAATGAACTGCAAAGAGAGGAAGTGGCACTAAGACAGAAAATACAAACAGAAAATAGTAAAATCATAATTTAAACTTGGATTTCTTAATACCAATCCCACCTCCTTCTGAAGAAAACTGATCTCTGTGTCATTTACATAAATAACACACAAACTTCATCCTGTCTAATAAAGGGAAAATATCCAACCACAAAGAATATACTCTATTTGCATGCCAATTATATGCCACGGAACACTATTAAGGATGTTCAAGACAGACATATTCTTAGTTTCCAACACAGCTCTTCCCAAAAATAACATTTGATTTTTTATGGTCTGGGGATTGAACCCATTGCCTCATGCATACTGGGCCAGCATTCTACTGCTGATCAGCACCGCAGCCTGAGTTTGTATTTCTTTATTTTTTCTCTCTTTATACAGAAGAGCATAAATATTGAACTCTACTACTCTGTTTGCCACTGTGATTAAACAGTAGCATCAAACCATAGCTCAGAGGAGAAATATACTAAAAGCAAC